ACCACCCTCTGACTCACAGTGTGTGTTGGGCGGGTGTGTGTGTGTGTGTGTGTGTGTGTGTTTTGGGTGTGGTCTGGGTGAGGCTCAGGAGTTGAACCCTCTCTCTCTCTCTCTCTCTCTGTGAGTCTGCAACTCAGACGTGATCTCAGGTATGTTCTCTCCTTTTAAACTGGATAATGCAGTTTCTGTGTGTGTGTGTGTGTGTGTGTGTGTGTGTGTGTGTGTGTGTGTGTGTGTGTGTGTGTGTGACTCCACCCTCTATCCAAACAAACCCAGTTCTTAGAGGAGACCCGTCGTGTGGTTCCTCCTCCTCGTTGTTGCGTTGCTGTATTAAGTTGTTGTTTCCTGTCACTGTTCTTTTTTGTTGCAGGTCAGAGTTGCCGTCCTTTGTTTGTTTGTTTGTTTGTTTGTTTGTTTGTTTGTTTGTTTGTTTGCAGCTCTATGTTGCTGCTCAGAGTTGCAGTTTCTTTGTGTTGCTGCTTTTTCCCGAAGTTTCCCTCTAACAGTGTTTTCATTTCTCTGCTGAACAACTCTGAACCTCTGAGCTGCACTTCTCACGGTGTTTGTTGCAGGTCTGAGTTGCTGTTATAAGTTGTTGTTGAGTTGTCGTCAGTTGTTGTCAACATCTTTTCTGAGTTTTATGTTTTTAATCAGATACTTCCTGGTCTGGTTCTGGTTCTGGTTCTGGTTCTGATTTGACCTGATTCAAAGTTCCTGGTTTTGTTTCTGAGAATCAGCTGATCATGTGACTCCGCCTTGTTTGGTCACTTCCTGTCTCTTTATTTTAAAAAGTTGTCCTGACGTGTTTTTGTTGTTTTTTTATTTCTGGATGTTTCCGTCGTCACACATGACTCAGCAGTTTTCTGTTTTTAATGAAGAACTTTGTTTCAATCTTGAGTTTCACTGAAAACATGACCACCTGATTTTGTTGTTTGTGTTTCAGAGTCTTTGTTGATTGTTGTTTGTTGTTTGTGTTTCAGAGTCTTTGTTGTTTGTAGTTTGTAGTTTGTAGTTTGTAGTTTGTTGTTTGTGTTTCAGAGTCTTTGTTGTTTGTTGTTTGTGTTTCAGAGTCTTTGTTGTTTGTTGTTTGTGTTTCAGAGTCTTTGTAGTTTGTTGTTTGTGTTTCAGAGTCTTTGTTGTTTGTTGTTTGTGTTTCAGAGTCTTTGTTGTTTGTAGTTTGTAGTTTGTTGTTTGTGTTTCAGAGTCTTTGTTGTTTGTTGTTTGTGTTTCAGAGTCTTTTTAGTTTGTAGTTTGTAGTTTGTTGTTTGTGTTTCAGAGTCTTTGTTGTTTGTTGTTTGTGTTTCAGAGTCTTTGTTGTTTGTTGTTTGTAGTTTGTGTTTCAGAGTCTTTGTCGTGGGACTTTAATAACCTGAATCTCTGAACGTTGTTCACCCTGTCAGTTAAATTAAACGTGTTTTTATCGTCCGTCTGTTCTAATAAAGGGTTAATAAACGGAGATCAAACACCTGAGCGGATGATGATGGGTGTGGTCATGTGATGGGTGTGGTCATGTGATGGGTGTGGTCATGTGATGGATGTGGTCATGTGACCTGTGTATTGAAACCTGAGCCGAGGTGTGAATGTGGGCCGTCTGATCAGGTTCTTTGTTCGTGTCGGGACTCGCCCACCGCGCCCGTTCATGTTTTCTTCTTCTGCAGTTTTCAGACTCGACTGTGACCCAGGAGAGGCAGCACCAGGATGGATGTGAGTCTCTTCGTTTTACTCCTTTACTCCTCTTTTTTACTCCTTTTTCAGTTTCTTCTCTCTCTTGATTCTCTTCGTCTTTCTGTCTCAAACCTCAGACCGAGTTTTAAACAGCGCTCGTTACTTCAGTCCGCCGACTCGGACAGAGTTCAGGTTAGAGATTTGATCTGATTGATAAGTTTGTTAACAAATCAGAAGAAGCTCCAGTTTCACTCAATCACTGATTGGATCAAAACGCTGAGTCATGGTTCGACTCAGAAACATCATGAATCTGAATCTGAGTGATGAGGAGGCCAAACCTTCATCACTTCATCGTGTCCAACGACAAACAGCCTAAAAACACCAAAGACGTTTACGTTCTTCTTCTTCTTCTTCTTCTTCTTCTGTGGTGCTTTAACAGCAGACTCCGGAGGACCAGCTCCCCCTGCTGGGTTCACTTTTCACAACCAACTTCAAGAAAAAGACGATTTTATTTTAATGTGTAGAAACTGTGTGTGTGTGTGTGTGTGTGTGTGTGTGTGTGTGTGTGTGTGTGTGTGTGTGTGTGTGTGTGTGTGTGTGTGTGTGTGTGTAAACAAAGTGTCATTCATCTCAGGAGCAACACCTTCATACTGAACATTCCTGATGAATCTCTCAGCGACACACCCTGACACACACACACACACACACACACACACACACACACTCACACACTCACACACAAACACACACACACACACACACACACACACACACACACTGTGTGTTGGCCGTGATGAGTTCAGGAGCAGCTCGTTTTTGGATGTTTTTGATTGAAACTCAAAGGTGAAACCAAAACAAACTGATTAGAAAAAAAACTTTTTCTCTTTCAATTTTAATTTCAATGAGATTTATAAACATGATTGTTTAAACAACAAAAACAACAACAATAATAATAATAATACAATAAAAATAAAACAGTAATAATAATATTAGAAATGGTGATGAATAATGTCAGTATCATGTTTGCAGATAAACAACTCTCCCTCTCTCTCTCCCTCTCTCTCTCTCTCTCTCTCTCTCTCTCTCTCTCTGTCTCTCTCCCCTCTCTCTCTGTTTCTCTCTCTCTCCCCTCTCTCTCTCTCTCTCTCTCTCTCTCTCTCTCTCTCTCTCTCTCTCTCTCTCTCTCTCTCTCTCTCTCTCTCTCTCTCTCTCTCTCTCTCTCTCTCTCTCTCTCTCTCTCTCTCTCTCTCTCTCTCTCTCTCTCTCTCTCTCTCTCTCTCTCTCTCTCTCTCTCTCTCTCTCTCTCTCTCTCTCTCTCTCTCTCTCTCTCTCTCTCCCTCCCTCTCTCTCTCTCTGTCTCTCTCCCCTCTCTCTCTGTTTCTCTCTCTCTCCCCTCTCTCTCTCTCTCTCTCTCTCTCTCTCTCTCTCTCTCTCTCTCTCTCTCCCCTCTCTCTCTCTCTCCCTGCAGCTTGCTGATGCGTTAAACGGTCAAAACCAATCACAGGGTGGCGCTCAGTGGCCGGGACAACCAGGACAACCCAGCAACCCCGGATGGCCAGGTTTTTATCAATACTCATTGCTATTATCAGTTTTTTAATTAACGTCATTATGTAATGGGGGGGGGGTCAAGTGTTCTGGTACCTGGAACACTTATGAAGAACCATCCTGTGCTGGAACACGGTGTCAGAGCCGAGCAGGACCAGGTAGTTCATAACGGTCCCTTCAGGTAACAGGTCCACATGGCGTGGAAGGTCCAAGTTGGTCTTTCTGGTTGGTCTCAAAGCTGAAAGGTTCGGTGTCTTGGTCAGGTATCTCCCCGCCCACTTTAAGTCGTCACTGAGACATTGCTGACTTGGACCTTTACTGGGTTCAGCTTGCCTTGAGAGATCCAAGCAGCTCCCAAATTCACAGAAACACGCAAACCTCCCAACCATGGTGAGGTGGTGATTCATGGAGGTTCACTCCAGGGTTCCCCACAGTGAACCTCCAGCATGTAGAAGACCAAAAAGCCGCAGACCCAGAGGTCACCTTATCCTGCACATGAGGGGTTCAACAAAATGCAGTCAACAGAAGAATCCAGAAGGAAGCAGGTCGAATATAAACCAGCCATGTTTGTGTGTTAACCAGGTCAACCTTCCGGTAACTCCGGCTGGCCGTCTGCACCTTCTGGTAACTCTGGCTGGCCGTCTGCACCTTCTGGTAACTCTGGCTGGCCGTCTGCACCTTCTGGTAACTCTGGCTGGCCGTCTGCACCTTCTGGTCAACCCGCCTGGCCGGGTCAAGCTGACAAGGGCGGAGCTGGAGGTGGAGGTAACTGGCCTAGTCAGCCCAACCCACCTGCTGCATCTGGAGGATGGCCAAATCCGCCTGCACCTGGACCTGGACCTGCACCTGCACCTGCACCTGTCCCAGCACCCCAGCATAAACCGGTAAGATGATTACCAGGTGATATGGGTAGATGATTACAGGTGGATGGTCGGCATTTGGATGGGGGGGTGGAGTAAACTGTTGTTTCCTTTTTCTACAGAAGAAAGTGCCACACTCAGAAAAGCTGCCGAGTGGAGTTTACGACAAGATGCTCATCACCATTAAAGGAACCGTCAATCAACACCCCAACCAGTCAGTATAAAGTCCTCACTGTGAACAGGTGGTACAGGTGGAGGCAGGTGGAGGCAGGTGACCGGAGAGCATTGCTGCTCTGTTGCCTGAGAGTGTCGAATAACTCATTTTGGTTTATCACACGTTACACAAGTAAAAATAAGTTATCACCAATTTTCACCGCAACCGGAACAGCGGCGATTCCTGCTGTCCACAGATTCCTGACAGATTGATTGGTGTGGCGGATTACAGACAACAGGAATCACAGGAACCCGCTGATTCACGTTCAATCTCACGATAACGAGTTGTCTCTCTAAAGACAGACACATAGACATATAAGCAGTAGATTGTGTCCTTCCAGAGGAGGAAATCTGCTTCTAGATTTCAACTTCCTTTCCAGCACGGGTTCATCTGTGCTGAATTTATCCGCCATGCTCCGGCGTCCTACGGAAAGAAGTCGGTGTAAATTGACACGTTAACTTGAATGGTTACGATCAGCTACGATCGGAGGATACGACCTTTTAGGAGACGATCAGGATGAAGGGGGAGGTCGGGGGTTAGCAGGATTATCAGCCTGTTGGATCAGAACCCCTGAACCACAGGGTCTGATGGTGTTTTTTGTTTTTCAGGATCACCTTGGATATGATGTCAGGGAAGGACGTGGTCTTCCACCTTAACCCTCGCTTCAACGAGGCCGGTAAAAGGGTGATCGTGAGGAACAGCTGTATGGGCGGCAAGTGGGGCAAAGAAGAGAGAGACCTGTCAAACTTCCCCTTCTCTCCAGGATCGTCTTTTGAGGTAAAGTATTAGATTTCACTCACACTTCATGACTTTAATAAAAACCTGAGGGTCCCGTGAAGTGAGTCTGTAGGACCCCGCTGTGAACACGTGAGCATCTCATCATGGTCTTTGTTCTTTGCAGATGAAGATCCTCTGCACAAACAACTGCTACAGGGTGGCCGTGAACGGCAGCCACCTGCTGGAGTTCCAACACCGATGCAGGAACCTGAGCTCCATCAAATCCTGCAACATCTACCATGACTTGACACTCTCAGATGTCCTGGTGGAGAAAATCGCCTGAGGCAAAACACTGGATCCACTGCAGATCTACTGAGGATCCATCACAGATCCACCTGAAATCAGTCTTCTGTACTCTGATCAACCAAAGATCTGCTGAGGGAACTACACTTAGTCCTCCTGTACAATAAACATCAACACCCAAAGATCCTGGAGGTTTACAGCTGATCACACTGACACCACTGTCTTTAAAAGGGGAAAGTAGATCCCCAGTAGATCCCCAGTAGATCCCTAGTTGGTCCTCAGTGGATCTTTAATAGATTCACAGTCGATTCACAGTCGATCCTCAGTCGATTCACAGTCGATCCTCAGTAGATTCACAGTAGATTCACAGTCGATCCTCAGTAGATTCACAGTAGATTCACAGTAGATCCTCAGTAGATCCTCAGTAGATTCACTGTAGATCCTCAGTAGATTCACAGTAGATTCACAGTAGATCTCAGTAGATCCTCAGTAGATCCTTAGTAGATCCTCAGTAGATCCTCAGTAGATCTTTAGTAGATTCACAGTAGATCCTCAGTAGATCCTCAGTAGATTCACAGCAGATCCTCAGTAGATCTTTAGTAGATTCACAGTAGATCCTCAGTAGATCTTCAGTAGATTCACAGTAGATCCTCAGTAGATTTATGTCCATGTCTGAGTCTGTGTTTTTTTGTCCAGCTCATAAAAATTAAAGGTTTTATTTGGACTTGTGCAATTGTCTCTGAGTTCATGTCAGTGTGTGTGTGTGTGTGTTGCATGTGGAGGCTTGACCTGCTCACAGCCACCAGGGGGCGACACTGATACAGCTCCTTGTGAGCAGATTCTTCATCTTGTCTGTAAATGAAACTGCTCTGATCAAACCCAAGCTCTCCAGGACCTCCAGATTCTCCAGGACCTCCAGATTCTCCAGGTCTTCCAGGTCCTGGAGGTGTGTATGGGGGGGGTTCAACAAGTTTCAACGCCTTCAGGTCAGAGAGGTTTGTTTCAATCAGTCAACATCATTATAATATTGATTTAATATCAAATATATATATATATATATATATATATATATATATATATATATATATATATATATAGATGTATAAAATTAAATTCATATATAATCTAAATATTAATTTGATTGGAATGACCACAAAATAAGTGAGTAAAATTGAAAACAGAAACACGACTCTGTGACACAGAAAATCTAATAAGTTGATTAAACTTGATCGAAAAAGAAACCAAAGGTTTTTAAAGCGATTCTACGGAATGAATGAGTTAAAATCTTGAAGACTGTGAAACACAGAGAGAGATTTATTCGGTTATAACCATAAACTGTAAGGTTATGATGAATGTCAGCATTAAGGTGACTTCACTCCAACACTTCCTTTAGACTTTATTAAAGTAATAAATATGACAGCCGAGCCCTGATCATACATAAGTGTGTATAAATATATAATTAAACTAAACAGTCAGAGCTTTAAAAGAACAAATAAACATAAATCACAGAGATTCATGTGGGTTCAGTAAAAAGGCGGTTTACGGTGTGTGGACTCCTGTATACTGACAATAGACGATCTTTGTGTACGTGTGTACCTGCGTCATGACGCAAAGCTCCAGCTGGACGTCAGCCTTCGGTCAGTGGTTGTGGTGGTTAGCTCGGAGCAGGTTCTGGTGCTGAACGTTTTCAGACTTTAATCGATCCAAATTCACCGAAACTCTCCGACAGCTGCCGAGTTTTCCCGACCGGAACCGAAGAAGGAGCGGAACCAGCAGAGACCTGTCAGGATTCAGGTCCCGGATCAGAAAGGGAACTTTTCCAGGTGAGTCGGACCCCCGGCCTCCACCGGGACCGGGCCCAGGTAAACAGAGACCGTCTCACCTGGGTTTACTCTACAGTCAGAGTTTATAAACCCAGACCCGGTCTTTCTCCTGACACCTCTGAGTCCGGAACCTGCAGAGGCCCGTTAGCCAGGTGGGTCCTGGTTCCGGACCAGTGACGCCTGCAGCTCGTTAGCGCTGTGGTTCGGAGAGGTTCGGGGGTCGGCTTTGGTCTCACTTCTGGTGTTTGTTGGTTCACAGAGGGGGTCTGTGATCCACGACCGAACTCGGAACCGTGTGACAGGCTAGTTAGCTACATGCTAACTGTTGTTAGCCTCAGCTAGCTGTTAGCCTCAGGCTGTCGACTCTCACCGACGGTTAACCGACTTCAACACGGTCAGGAACTCTTTAGGACCGACAGACGAACTGTTTTAACAGTTAACTGACAGACTGATTAACTGACAGACTGATTAACTGACTGTTCTGGGAGTTAACAGACAGACCTGCTGTATTAACCGACCAACAAAAGTCTAAACTGACCGACTGAGAGGAAATGTGAAGATTTGAACTGAACTCACTGACTGACTCTCTTTGAAGGTTCCAGTTAACTGACTAAGTAAATGGAGGACTTGTTTACTGACTTGTTGACTGACTTGTTTACTGACTTGTTTACTGACTTGTTGACTGACTGTGTAGGACTAGTTCCCCCTCAGATACCTGGAGGACTCGTCACTAAACTTACCCCAAGATAATGACTCTGTTGACTGACAGGTGGATAATAACCTGACTGACAACATTAAGGTCTAGTGAGTGACTGGTTAATGACTAGTTAACTGGTTATTTTAGTTACTAATATACTGACTGACCTGTTTGGAGGTCACTAGTACAGGTTCATGAACTGTTTTACAGACTGACTCTGTGGAGGACCAGCTGACTGACTGACTGACTGACTGACTAGACTAGTCTATAGTTAGTCAGTAATAGTTAACCGACTGGTCAGAGCAGGTGACCAACTGTGTGGAGAACTAGTCAGCTGACTAGTTCTGATGAGATCTGGTCTGTACTGAGGACTAGTTGTCTGAATGGATGTGTGTGTGGGGGGGGGGGGGACTAGTAACCCTCCTGTTAACTGACCGACTGTTTGTGGTTGACTGTGTGGAGGACTAGTTACCAGCTGACTGTTGTGAGGACTAGTAAACTCTTGGATGTGTTTGGAGACAGTAGTTGATACTGGGACCTCAGGACTAGTTAAAACTCCAGTTAAACCAGTTTACCGACTTGGTTGTGGACCAGTCAGTTTAATGGCTGCTCGGTTCAGGACTAGTTAACCCACTCACTCACTCACTCACTCACTCACTCACTTACTCACTCACTCACTCACCCACTCACTCTGTGGAGGGTTATCCTCTCTTCTTCTCTTGATGGTTATCGATGATGGGAGGTTACCTGGAGACATCAGGGGCCTGTTCTACGACGCGGGTTCACCTCTTAGCGAGGCGAGTCTCCATGGCAACGTACGCTAAACGGCTAACCTGCTCCGGGGCAGGTTAAGTTCCAGATTGAACTCACCGAGTATAAAAACCCCGCCCACTGACCAATGAGCTCTCTGGAAAAACGGCGTGTCCGTTCTTGGAGGATCCTGTAGACCTCGGTGCTCGCCTTGTCCGAGGAGGAGCACTCCGGCGCCCGAGAGTTTTCAGGGAGAGTTTTCAGAGACCGCACGGACCCACTTCCTTCTCCGGATGACCTCCTTTATGAAAGGCTAATATGGCCGACAGACAAAACATGTGACCACGATAGGAATGAACACATGAATGAATTCATCCTGGAAATGAATCAGACATGTCTGCTCGCCGTAGTTAAAGCGCGTGTTGAACAGCGCTGTTTCAGGGTGATGACCACATCAAAGATTTTTGGCGCTCTATACTTCCGCATTGACTGACGGCCATTTTCTGCCAGCGTTCCCTCCGCTCTTCTGCGGCGGCGGCGTTGTTTTTGAGGTTTATGACAGATTTTAATTCTTCAGACTTTCTCATGATCGTCTCCTGCTCCTCGTTTGTAAAGTCCGCGGTCCTTCGCTCTCCGGCCTGCTCTGACGCTCCAGACCGGTCCATGTTCCTGTGATTGGTCAGATGCGGCGGGCTCCGCCTTACATGCGTGCACGCGCTCATAGCAGAGCTGGATCCTCTTACCTCGCTAAGTCGAACCTGCTTCATAGAACAGACGCCAGGAGTGAGCCACCCCGCCAAAATAAAAGCATCAGATGAAACACAGAGGGGTTTCCTCTCTCAGTGCGCCGTGAGGACGGTCTGTATGAACTAACACACACACACAGACACAGACACACACACACACACACAGACACACACAAACACATTCACAGATACACACACACATCTGAAAAAACGGTCTGTGTGTCTGTCTGTAATTCTGTGTGTGTTTGTGTGTCTGTGTGTGTGTGTGTGTGTGTGTGTGTGTGTGTGTGTGTGTGTGAATGTGTCTGTGAGTGTGTCTGTGTGTCTTGAATGTGTGTGTGTGTGTCTGTGTGTGTGTCTGTGTGTCTGTGTGTGTGTGTGTGTGTGTGAATGTGTCTGTGAGTGTGTCTGTGTGTCTTGAATGTGTGTGTGTGTGTCTGTGTGTGTGTCTGTGTGTCTGTGTGTGTGTCTGTGAGTGTGTCTGTGTGTCTTGAATGTGTGTGTGTGTGTGTGTGTCAGTGTGTGTCTGTGTCTGTGAATGTGTCTGTGAGTGTGTCTGTGTGTCTGTGAATGTGTGTGTGTGTGTCTGTGTCTGTGTGTGTGTGTGTGTGTGTGTGTGTCTGTGTGTGTGTGTGTGTGTGTGTGTGTGTGTGTGTGTGTGTCTGTGTGTGTCTGTGTGTGTGTGTGTCTGTGTCTGTGTGTGTGTGTGTGTGTGTCTGTGTGTGTGTGTCTGTGTGTGTCTGTGTGTGTGTCTGTGTGTGTGTGTGTCTGTGTGTCTGTGTGTCTGTGTGTGTGTGTGTGTGTGTCTGTGTGTCTGTGTGTGTCCAGGTAAACCCACTGAACCTGTTTGTTGGGTGTGTTACACTGTTGTCCCCACACTTCTGGCTGTCTCTGTGGTGATTTCCCAGCATGCCGTGCGTCTGCAGGGTGTGGTTGTGCGCAGGCTAAAACATGTTGGACTGTAAAATCTGACCTGAAGCAGGTCGTTCTCCCGGTCCAATCAGAGGACTGTAAACGGTCACATGACTGTTGATGACTGACAAAGAAATAAAAACAAACTTTGATTCATTGAGTTTTAAGCTCCTCCCACTCCAGGAGCGTTTTTTCCTGCGATTATTTCAGACGTCAATATTTTTCGTTCACAACAGCGATGGTTTTCCCATCCTGCGATATTTCGGCATTTATTTTTTCGGATCACGGTCGATTTTTCTAAAGTTTCTCAGACTGTGTGTCCTCTTCTGACCAATCAGATTCAGCGGTATATCCAACATGGCCGACCGTCTGATTGTTTCCGTGTCGGAGAACAGAGTGATTTTTGATAAAGACACAAACATTACAAAGATAACGACCTGAAGGACGACTTGTGGAGAGTCGTCGGATTTCTCCGATGACGATGGTTTGTGAGCTTTAACAGTTTGATAAACGTCTTTGTTTGAACTTTCATCTGTGCTAACGTAAGCTAACGGTTGTTACCATGGTTACATGTGTTTATCTTATCGCCTCTGATTGGCTACAAGTGCTGACCGTTTGACTTGAACATGTGATGACGTTTCCAGCTTTTCTAGCCAATCAGAGGCAAGGAGGCGGGACCCCTGAAAAGTCACTAAATCGCATCGGGCTTGATGTGTTATCCACGTCGGCCCGGTGTGTGAGGACCGTAAAGACGAAGATTTAAGAACTTTCTGGACTTGTTTAGTTCGAACCTTGAGTCCTGTGAGTCCAGTCCTGTGAGTCCGGTCCTGCTCGTGGTTTCTGCCTGTTAAAGTTTTTCTCTCATGTGGTCAAAGGAGGAGGAGCTGAAGGTCTGATGTCACTGAACTGGACCGACCCGGTCTGAGAGAGTTCAGAGAGATCCAAACAGACGATCATCACGGTTCTGTTCTGATGGAGTGTCTGTCTGTGTGTGTGTGTGTGTCTGTGTGTGTGTGTGTGTGTGTGTGTGTGTGTGTGTGTGTGTGTGTGTGTGTGTGTGTGTGTCTGTCTGTGTGTGTGTGTGTCCAGCAGTGGCCTAAAGAGGCGGAGTCAGATGACTGACACGGTTTCCTGTGTGGGAGGAGTCACAGTAAGCGTCTGAGAAATGTGAAGCTGAAGGATCAGAGGAGCTGTCACTCAAACTGAGACCACGCCTCCCGAGTAGCTGCAGCCAATCAGGATCAGATTGAAGGTAAATCACCTGAGACACACCCACCCATGAATGTTGTTGTACTGATTCTCCTTCATCAAATGTTGGTGAATTCACGTGTTTTTATGTCGCCACAAAATCTCAATAATCCGATCATGGCGGTCGAAGACGTTCACCTGGACGCACGCCGAGTTTACTGATTCCATTAAAACCACAGAAGAAGAAGAAGAAGAAGAAGACGGTAGAGGTTCACTTCATCCAGTTCAGGATTTTTCCCTCCACTCAGAATGGACCTGAGCCCGGTTCTGAGCCCGGTTCTGAGAGCGGTTCTGAGCCCGGTTCTGAGTGCGGTACATGTTTATCAGGTCCAGCAGCTCATCCCGATCCTGCGTTACATGAGGAGACCACAGAGGGGGAGGGGCTTAGAGCTCAGAGCTCTAAGGGTTAAGCCCCTCCCTCCGTCTGTGATTCTGTTTCTATATCAGAGTTTAACTGTTTATATCAGACAGTTCAGAGTTTCACCACCATCACTGAGAGGATGATCACAGACAGAAACACTGTTAGATAAACACACACTGAAACAAGCATGCACTCACACACGTACACACGTACACACTCGCACACATACACACTCACACACCTCAGAAAAACCAGCCTGAGAGTCTGAAACACTAAAACACATCAGCCACCCGCGAACTGTGAGAGGGGACGTTATTATATACAGCTGTGCACACACACACACACACACACACACACACACACACACAGTAGAGCTGTGGAGGAGGCTGAGAACAGATTCAGTTTGTTCTCTCAGGGTGTGTTTGTGGAACAACTCCAACCTGAGCTGATGTAATGGTGCTCCACTCTGTGTGTCTGTGTGTGTGTGTGTGTGTGTGTGTGTGTGTGTGTGTGTGTGTGTGTGTGTGTGTGTGTGTGTGTGTGTGTGATGTAATCCTGTAGTTAAACTGAGTGTGTGTCTGCACATGTCTGCACATGTGGAAGAAAACAATGAAACCCTGAAAGGAAGCGAGGTGAGGAAGCAGGAAGGGAGGACTGAG